TTGACGACAGCTTTGATTTGGGAGGCAGTGGACCCATTGAACCCGATTTTTACGTCCGCTATGTGCAGAAGCGCCTGATGTTCAGCACAGGGGATCGAGTAGGGGCGCCAGACGTTTACGCGCTGATGATATGGTATTTCTTCGGTTTGTTGGGTGACATTTAGGGAGGAATTACTGACCTAAATTCACAAGAATGCTGAGTTATGGGCAAAAGTCGGACCACGGACGGGATTCGAACCCGCATCTTCTGCTTACCGTGCAGTTGCGTTCCCTATTACGCTACCGAGGCCACTTTTGACCACTCAGCTCAATGGCTATTTGTGCCATTACCTTCAAGCACTCACACGTTCAACGTGATGAGCTGAGTGGTCAAAAGTGGCCTCGGTAGCGTAATAGGGAACGCAGCTGCACGGAACGCAGAAGATGCGGGTTCGAATCCCGTCCGTGGTCCCGACTTTTGCCCATAACTCAGCATTCTTGTGAAAGCTTTCGGATCGCGTACTGCGGCGTAAAACAGCAGTTACAAGACAGAAACAGCTTAAACTGGGACCAAATTGCTCATCAAAGACAAAATTTAGATGAAACTCAAGCGTAGATTTCGAAAATGCGGCAGAAAGGGTAGAAAATGCTTGGAACTTTGCAGGGTAATTACACGGATAATTTGTTGCAGATTATTTGATAGATTGCGACATCCTAGTAGTAGTAACTCCGTCACGGTTAAGCTTAATAGGGGCACCGAATAGTACTCAGCTAAATTTATGCAGGCCACCTCGTGAAGATCTAGAAAAATCAGATAGGCCACCCTCAGTCAAACTGTTATACAGCTTCACAGGGTTTACAAGTCTGACCAGAGTGCGACCCGATAGTCGGCATGAGCCAGAAAGGAACTAGCGATAGCGCTAAATAACTCCTATGAGCCGAGCAGCGCCAACATCAGAAAAATTACTGCTTCCTTCTGCCCCACTCTTTGCTCCCATGATTGCAGTCATTTTCACCAGTTCCTATAGCCTCTTATTTTTCACCATTCTTCTGTAGGTAGTTACGAGAATTCTTTCGCAGCATGAGCAAGCAACGGGTCTAACCTGCAGTGCAGGTGAGTGGAATTCCCATTTCTTCTGCTTTTTCTTTTTTCGTCAATAGTCAATCACTCACGTTATTATCCTTCGTTCGCTTTTTCTCCGACCAGGGAAGATGAGTGGATGTGGGCCAAGAGATCCGTATTGCGGTGGCGTCGCAATGCGTCTGACATACTTTCTACGCGTTGCAGCAACTTTGATGTTCTGATGCGCACTCAATTGATGCAGTTTCTTAGGCTTTTCGCTGTTCACTAGTCAGTTTTAGGTATCGCCCCAACCTTCAGACTGGCGAAAATTTGCTCCGATATGAACAAACCAAATGGCCAGTATGAATTAGAAAACAGCTACGAAAAAGTCATGGATTTCCTCCGCGAACTACCGATTCGTAAGGTATATTCCATATTTTAGTGATTTTTACTTTTCAGAAACGTTTATGCCGCTTGGTTGGACCAAGTAGTAATGATCAAAATCTTGCAGGTCTCAGGAAATCGGACGAGTATCTGAGGCTCTGCTACAAGCATGTGGTATTTTTACGGTTGGGCAGCTGCTAGAAAGACGTGCCGCACTGAAGTTTTGCTTCTCGGAGCTTTTCTCAGGTAGTCTATACTGTGAATTTTGCAGCTTGGAATAAGAAAAATTCCCAAGGCTCTAAGCGTACGGAGGTTGGCCCATAGGATGGAACGCATAGATTTCGACTGCGGTCGGTTAGAAGAGAGATCGTTTTCAAAAATTACCGTTCAAACAGCGTTTAGAATCATGAAGGAAGGTGCACTCATGATAACTGAGCAAGGAAATTCCCGAGCAAGGAGAAAAGGAGAGTTCGTGCTGACTATGTGAGTGGAGAGGGAGAAGCTTTGGGCCTCCGTCGTCGGTAAGCTCCTCATCCCAAGACAGTGATGCTAAAAAGCGCTTCGATGAAGAAAACGCCAGGATTGACCGCCTTTATTCGTAGGATCAGTGGATGGCAGTGATTGCGAAGTCTATCCAAGCTTGTTCCGATATTTTTTCTCTCGGAAGAATGAAGCACCGCTCACTCTTACCAGATCTGACAATGTTTCCATATCCCTGGTTACTAATAGTAAGAATTCTCCTGTTAGTTCAAACGTGCCTAGGTAGCGTAATATCGAGGAACGCAGCGCACGGTAAGCCAGGAGGACCGGATGCGGGCTCGAATCCCGTTCCGTGGTCCGACTTTTGCCCATAACTCAGCATTCTTGCTTTCGGATCGCGTACAGCTACGTTAAACAGCAGTTATCAAACAATATCTCCTGCTAGTCTTTTCAGTGGATTGAAATGTGTATGTCAGAATGACAGAATGACAGCTATTTATTTATAGGAGTGTTTCCTGCGTGTTGCTCTTGGTCTTCCCGGTCGTCCATCATCGTCTGATCCACGCAGAAAGAGTATTTCCACCGAGAGGACCTTTACACCGACGTCGAGTCGCGAAGCACTGACGGAAATAATGGAAGATGTTTGTGACATGCTTGTTAAAGATACAAAACGTGCAGGAATTGTCGGTGAGATCTTATTATTTGTTCCAGCCGGTGGGATAGCTAGAGTTTATTGAGTGGCCCAAGTGAGCAACTTAGTAGTAAGACTAAGTATCGGCTGGAATACGCTAAAAGGAAATGGTACTGTGGTCTCATCCAGAGAACCTTCAGTCGCCTCATCTTTCCTCGTTTTGTTCTGGTTTGATTTTTGATTTCTAATTTTCCACGGCTTATGAAATCAAATAGTTGCTTACATTTTAACCGCCCTTTGTGGTCAGTAGTGACCAATATTCATCTAGTTGAGGGAAATTTGGAAACGAAGGGAAGGTATCAATAAGTAATATAAGTGTTCAGGTGGTCGATGCGTCACTCTGAAACTGAAACTGTCTTCATTTGATGTCCTGACACGTTCTGAGACACCCGGGCGACTTATATCTAGCCGTGAAGGTTAGTGTTATCGCCTCACTCTCTTTTCTTTTGTTTTCTCTCGGTTTTATTTCGCTTCGTTTCTTTTTCGCGGCGTGGCTTGCTTACTTGTGGATGGTAGGGTCCTTCCTGGCTATGTTATCTCTGAGGCCATTTTCTTGATGTAATCCGCTCTTCAGGAGAACTTAATTCTCACCTTTTGTAGTCGCACTTCGACATTTTGCTGAAAAACCGTAGAAGTTTCAGAGATTCTTGCGATAACACGTGAAATCCTAGACCGAGAACTACCAAATGAGTTCCGTCTACTTGGAATACGTTTGAGTCATTTACAGTTTGAAGACGACCGACCTCCAGGAGCGCCAATTTCGGTGAGTTCTCCTTTACTGATTGAATAACTGAGCATTTGCTTCACATTCCGCGAGTGACGTTGGAAACGGTTTGTTGTTGGGGGCAGTTTGGGAGATCCACGGTGCGGCGACTCCTGCGATGCTAGTGGCGTCACGTTCGCTGTATTTGCACTAGAACCTAACTGGTTTGTATATGGAGTTTCTATGTTGAGTCAACCAGATAGAAACGACTGGCTAGTCTGTATGCTTCATCTGACATGGATCTCACAAACTATACCCTTAAATGTCTTGCAGCTCGTAGGAGGTTTACAAAACAGTTCGCTTTCATATATTCACATGTTTTGGCGCAGTTTGGCTTGTTGAAGCATCGAATGGTACTCAGCGAAGATTGTACAGACTGCATTGTAAAAATCTGTAAATTCCTGTTGCCGAAATGGCTCACTTGTGGCATTCCAGAGCTTCTTAAGGTTCACAGTCTTGCTGACAACAGAAACTAGCGAGAGTACGAAACTACCCCTTCAGACCGAACAGAGCCCATTTCTGAGCTAGATAGAAATTTGGGGCTCTCTGTGCTCCTAAAACTTCCCTGTCCTACCCAACCAGTGCTCGTTCTCTGACGCATTTGCCACGATTTCCCGTTTTTCTGATCTTCCCAACCTTCTTAAGCCCCAAGATCCCAAAGCTCTTTCTAACATGACTCTGACACCCTGCTTGTCACGGCAAACGCGGGCACGCGGGCTCCACCCCTCTGAGACACGGTGGGCGTGGCTGCGCATTCAAATCAACATTGATGGGTTGTTTGAGGGATATTTCAATGTGAAACAACTTTCATCTTGTCTGGTATTGGACCAAAATGTGGTTGCAACTGTATTCAAAACATCTCACTAAGGTGCAGCTGTAAACGAAGTACTTAGCCACGCTCGTAGCATCTCAGGAACTCGGAATTCAGATGAAAAAGGTAGCTGCCATAAGATGAGGCGATTATTCGTTCCGTGAAAGAATTCAGCAAATAAAGCATCTGGTGTTGATAAGTCATTCTTCGAGGAGTACACTTCCCTTCCATTTGGAATCGCACTTGCGCTTTCATGCAGTTTGGTCCTTACAATGACTTGCGGGGTCAGCCAGTGTACAAGTGTGTTTTTATCCTCACAAACGAGTCTGATATCAACACAACTGGCCGCATGACAAGTTGTACACTCACCTACGAGAATCCTGGTCATACTCATGTGCAAGATGAATGGGCCCGCAGATTCATTAGCGTGTCACTTTCTGCGATCAAAAGTGCACGGAACGGGCTGGACGGTAGCGATGCCCAGGTGCTGTCTCCATACACCACATGTGCTGCCACACTGCATCCACACCCTTAACCATAGCCAAACGCGCAACTTGTCTGCGCCCTCTCATGTGTAGTTGTTCTCTACATGCGACTGCATGTTGGCTACGGGACTTTAGTATCAGTGCTGCACCTTTGAATACAGCCAGAGTTAGAAGATATCACCCGGTGTCACTACCCTCCCGTACAAGTGGCACACTACTGCAGCTATTGACCAGTTCACCTGGCACATGAGCAGAATCAAGGGACTCGGGGGTGAGTGTGCAGTTTGTCTTCAACTGAATGAGTGATTTAATTCTGAACTATGTTTTGTATTGCAGTAATCAGTTGACATGCAAAAAGTTTCATCACAATAAAGACGTAATTAATCTAATTCATCAGGTTCTGGACTTCTGGAAACGACAGCAAGTCACGGACTTCAACAACTGCACTGTCAACGATCAGCCATCCTCATCGACAACATCAGAATCGCCATCCGCTCCAGACGAGAGAGTTTCATGTCCAATTTGTGGATGTTTTCTACAGAACGACGACAGAGTAGTCAATCAGCATGTGGACGAGTGTTTAAACGATAGGAAACGAAAAGCGACAATTGACAATTTTTTTGGAAAAAGAGAGCGAAAATAACTAGGGAACTTCTCTGCTTAGTGGTCCCCGATCGTTCCATGGCTGGGTGCATTCACTGACTTGACTGTTACGCCGAGACGACTTTGCAGGGTTTATTAAAAGTAAAACAGTTACTGAAGGCACAGTTCGCTACTTGCATGGACATTGGTCTAGTCTACCAATCTGCCTTTCATTGGCGCTTAGGAGACAATGAGCGCTCCAGAAGTGCAGCAGTAGGCTTGGGTTTGTCCATGCGTGGACTGTGACTTTATGTCTAGCCCTTCTCAGCGGAACTGAGAAAAAATGCTGAAAACCATCAAGGCCAAGTATGCGATTTGAGAGACTCACTATGTTTTCATTTGAGGGCAATTCGTTCACTCCCCTCCGATGACGTTCCTTCCCATACGCTAGAAAAAAGGGTTTGCAGCTGCACAAGTGTAGCATCTTGTCTGAGGGCAGGATACAGCATCGCTGTGTGAAACGCATGGGGAGGGGGTCCCACTTGGCCGCTGGGGAGGAGGGGTCGTATTTAGTCGTTGTTGGGAGAGGGTCTGAGAGAAATTTGCCGCGTTGGAAAAAACTTTTCCCGGTTGTTGACTTTTCGCGGTTTTTCCCGTTTCGCATTTTCTGTGTACCTCCCCAGTTGGTGGCGCCGCCAAGCATTTGTATTTGCGATAGTTGAAATGGTAGCTGGTCTTCGCCCCGCCCCCCTCGCCCCTTCCCCCGCTGGACGAAATTTTTTTGGGGAGAAAGTAGCAAATTTTCGGGAACTTTCGGAGAAAAAAGCTGTTAGGAAGCTAAGAACTTGTAGGAAAGTGGTGGATCGGTGTTGGGGAAGGGGAGAGGATCGTAATGATCCCACCATTTCATACA